AATAATAATAATAATAATAATAATAATAATAATAATAATAATAATAATAATAATAATAATAATAATAATAATAATAATAATAATAATAATAATAATAATAATAATAATAATAATAATAATAATAATAATAATAATAATAATAATAATAATAATAATAATAATAATAATAATAATAATAATAATAATAATAATAATAATAATAATAATAATAATAATAATAATAATAATAATAATAATAATAATAATAATAATAATAATAATAATAATAATAATAATAATAATAATAATAATAATAATAATAATAATAATAATAATAATAATAATAATAATAATAATAATAATAATAATAATAATAATAATAATAATAATAATAATAATAATAATAATAATAATAATAATAATAATAATAATAATAATAATAATAATAATAATAATAATAATAATAATAATAATAATAATAATAATAATAATAATAATAATAATAATAATAATAATAATAATAATAATAATAATAATAATAATAATAATAATAATAATAATAATAATAATAATAATAATAATAATAATAATAATAATAATAATAATAATAATAATAATAATAATAATAATAATAATAATAATAATAATAATAATAATAATAATAATAATAATAATAATAATAATAATAATAATAATAATAATAATAATAATAATAATAATAATAATAATAATAATAATAATAATAATAATAATAATAATAATAATAATAATAATAATAATAATAATAATAATAATAATAATAATAATAATAATAATAATAATAATAATAATAATAATAATAATAATAATAATAATAATAATCTGCAAAATTGATAAATTTGAGATGAGAAGTATTAATGGTGAAATTGGCTGGAATAATTGATAGTAACTACTTGGATAAATTTTTTAATTGCTATTTAACATAGTTACATATTGTTAAATAATAAAAAGGAAATTGATGGTTCAATTAATAAAAATTGATAAACAAATATTATATTATAATTATTTAGTTGAACTTAGTAGAGAAAATTGGATCGTTATTGTTTTCACTCATTATTGGATTATTGAAGTGGATTAATAAGTTAACGTAATATCAAGCGTTTAAGTAATTAATTAATAAAATCAGATTAAGTTGATGACGATTAGTTAATTTTAAATAATTATGTAATATTCGGATTGATTAATATAATTAGGAAATATGAATAGTTTATTTAAATATAATTCGGATATGTTTTGATAATATTGAAATACAGTTAGTTCTTTGAATGTTTTTTTTATATGATGATATTTAAATTAAAATCTGATGTTGTAGTTAATTATATTTTTATTAGAATTCAAATACCGTAATTAATGACTGAATTAATAAGGTATTTTGATTAATAAAATGCGATTAACTCGAACAATTAATAAATGTACTTAACTAAATGAGTTAAATAGATCTTTTATATATAATTAATTAAGTAAATGAGTATATTTAAAAAATGATTAAGGTCTGATCTATTAATAAAATTAAGTTAATTGATTTCGTAATTAAAGATTAGATTTTTCGGAATTAATTAATTAATTGGAACTAATTAGTGATAATAATTAAATAATAGATTTTACTAGTAGACTAAGTTCGACTAAGATAAATAAGTTAGTGACTAAATTGAAATTAGAATTAATCAGTTACTTTAATTAATTAAGTTTTAGCAGGCTATTTTCAGATAAATAAAATAATTAGGAATTATTAGTATGTATAGCCGAAAATTAAATAGTAGTAGAAGTATAAATAAATTAAGTAGATTAAAGACTTAAATTATATAGTTGAATTTTATAGTCAAGTAGTGCTAACTATTTCGAATAAGAGTAAGAAACCGAATTAATTAAATTCAATAATGGAGTAGTTATTAATTTTCGCACATTGATAATATTAAAGGAGAGATTGGCGAATTCGTTGAAGACGTGAACTAGATTTCGAGTAGGGTTAGAGCAAAAGCGTGACTTCGAGGTAAGTTTCTCTGCCGATCCAAAATGTTTTCCTCGTATTATATGCTTATTATGCATTATGTGATTAAGTGTGAATTTTGAATTATGTGTATGTGATTTTGAGGAGATATTATATATATGGTAGTTGAGAAACACAAATTAATTAAGTACTTTTGGGGTATTAAATATTTTTAAATACCTTTGAGACTATTTAGAGAGATTGAGAAATATTTTTGGAAGTATATCTAAAGTCAAGATAAAATTTACGTTTTTATAAGAAGTGAGCACCCGGGAGAAATCCGTGGTGTCGGTTTTCCACATCCGGATAAATGTGGAGGGTGATTAAGGCCGCTACTACTAAGAAGCATAATTTGAGTTTGAAATGACACGTGGATCTATGATCCCTTTTAAGAAGAAGTTATAGTAGTAGTAATCCCTAATCATTCAAGAATTTTAAAGGTGGGGTAGTTGGTAGACTGAGTCCCGATTACTCGTGACGACTTACCACTCGGAGGGCTTGGAATCCCTTTTAGGGGGTGTGCACACTTAAGGTAGTCGTTTCGTTTCCATTAGCAGTTGTGGTACCAGCAAAAGTCCCGGGGTGGCCGTACATAACAACGTAACCACCGGGCTCAACCAGAGTGTTGAGCACCGCCCTTCTAAATTACTAGGAAGATAGAGAAGAAGTGAATTTTGAGAAATTCTAAGAGAAGAGTTACTACAGTATTTTCAAAGAAAAGTTGAGGACTTTAGTAAAGCAGCGATTTTGAGAAATATCAAAGAGAAAAGAATTTTGGTGGAGTGTGTCATTTTTATATAGTATTATATGAAAATCTATTTTTCGCCAAACCTGATTATTTTACGGGGTTGGGTAGTACTTACTTAGCTCTAAAGCTAATTTTTGTTTCCCTTTCTTTGTTTTGTTTTCTGCACTTTACTTGTGCAGGTAATGATGACTTTGTCAATTGATGATTGCATGCGTCTGAGAGCGACGTAGAAGATACCTTAGTAAAACTTAGACAAGAATAAACATTTCAGTTATGTTGAACATTTGTTTTACTTTGTCTAGTTTTGTGATTGCTTGTGCATTCGGTTAAGAGATGACCGGATGTGGCGGTAACACCCATTTCCCATTTAATGTTATTTCCGTTGCAAAACTTTTTATCTGTTTTAAAAGAATAAATCAAGTCTATTGTTAATAAATCTATTATTTCAAGTATTATTTTGGGAGGGAAAATGGGGGTGTTACAAAACCGGCCGTTTCAAACGGAGAGGGTAAGGTCTAGTTCCCATTTCGGGACTTGGTATCCCCGGACCAATTACCTGGACTGACCTGTACCATGCCCACCCCTTGTTAGAACAAATGCAACTATGTTTATTTGCTTGCACACTAATTTTTATGATCTGTGCTAGGTGTACACAAAAACAAGCATTTGTCAATTTCTATAATATTATTGCAAAATTATTGATTCAATATTTGTATCCCCTTTGCGCCTATATGATTACTGACTTAGTCACGTGCTTGGTTTTTATGTCACCCTTGCATCTTTCTCGCTTTAATTAATCAAAAATGATGTTTGTACTCATTCTTATACCCACTTTTGTACCCACCTATGTTTGTGAAATGTTTTTTTTCTCTGAACCCTGATTCACAGACAATATTTTTCATATTAACAAAATATTGTCTGTGAACCGGGTTCACAGACAAAAAAACACTTCACAAATATGGTGGGTATAAGGTGGGTATAAGAGTGGGTACATCAAGCATTGTTAATTAATCAAATGGTTGTACTTTTACATATTATGTTCATTTACAAACTCATTTGTGACTAGATTACTAAATCAAGTTCTTTAAATATCATAATCACTCAATAGAATTCTAAGATTACTCTTTATTTCTAATGGTAATAATGTAAAATTTGTCATAATGCTAGATATTGTTATCCAAAAGTTTGAGTAACGGGAGATAATATTACATCAATCACATTCCACACACAAAACATCCTCACTTTGAAGAGTGCGCCAATACCCACACGACTTATGTTAATATTAAAGTGCCCCGTTATTACTAAAACAGTCTTAAAACAAGTTACAAGTTACAACATTAATACAAAATTATACAAACGAAAAACAATTTCAAGAATGTTTATTCAATTTGAAACCCACAAAAGCCAACTAGCTACTTACACATATCATCAAACCAATCTCGAAGTGTGAATAAAAAGCAATGCTAATATCCCAGATCTTAAAATAGTGTGAAATGGAATCCCACACTTCCCTTTCCCAAACAACCCCTTGACGTATGACCAGTACATCAATATTACCCACAAGCTGCAAATCACTTCCCCAAAACTCCATCTCTTATTCTCTTGTTTATCAAAATCCAGTAATCCAATGAACAGAGCTGCAATATTGACAAGTAAAATGGTTGTACCAGGAATAAATATCGGAGAGTCATCAAAAGTAAACCCTCCCACATCGGATTCCTCCTGTAGAGTATTATCACTTGTATGTTCTTTCTTGGTGATTTCGAACACTGTATTGGAGATTCCAATGACCTTAAATACCACGCTTAGAAACCCAAATAACCATGGACCAGAAGCATTTAACTTTGACATTCTTCGATTGTTCCACCACGCCCGTATGGATTCCCCACCCATAATGTATTCTGATAAAGTGTACAAATTGTAGCTAATGAAAATTGAAGTTGGCATTACAATGGCAACTTCGTTTACCTTCGGTTGGAAACTAGAATTGCTTATGATGCAAAATGCAGGGAGAAGAGAATTGCATATTTCAAAAAAAGTCTCAACGGGCCACAACATCACCCATAGATATGCCAAGCACTGTCTGAATTGGAGCTTTCCAAAGAAGAATTTAAAAATTGGGCTATTGTTTCCGATTAGCACTTCAGTTAGCCCAGTGGACCATCGTTTTTGTTGGGTCGATGCCGCCGGTCCTCCTGTTGGTGCACACCCCAGAAAAGCAGGCGGGTCAGGGTCACAATAAGCGGATTTCCACCCCATATTGTGGATGGTTAACCCTGTAAGGACATCTTCTGTGGTAGATCCATAAATCCATCCAACCTGAAATGTCATAACAATTGAAAGTACATGAGGTACACTTATCATTTCTATATTTATCATGTTTGAGTTATTCAAGTACTAAGAGTGAGACTTTTATTACTTGACATTGAATTTTTACAGTCTAAATTTCATTTTAATCCTTGAATTATGTATTACTTTCATAATAGTCATGATGGGTAAAGAGTTGGTAAACCATATGGTGATTTCAAACAATGTATGAAAAAATAACTATCGAAAGACCAAAATATGGAATGTAGAACTAGAATGTGTCATTACAAGTAAAAATGGAAAAAGCTCATTTTCAAAAGGACTTCCAATTCTACAAAAAAGGGGAAAATAATTTTAAATCATACAAACTATCTTCCGTGAACCAAGAATAATATGTACTTTGAAAATAAGTTTGAATAATACCAACTATTTTAATATAAGACCAAAAGTGATATAGAGCATTTTTTACTAAAAATTCAACCATTTAACTCATCAAAAATTTGTACCAAAATATCTAATAAGTGAATATATTTCCAAATATCATTTATTTGATGGGTTGTCATTAGCTTTTGATGTCTTAATGATCAATTTTTTTTCAAAGAATGACTCCATATTATTTTTGTTTTACATTCAAATAGTTGGTATTATTAAAAATTATTTTCAAAGTTTGTATTATTATTGGTTCATGGATGATAGTTGGTACTCCCCTCCGTCCCTAATTTACCTTCCAAATAGGTTTAACACACAATTTAAGATAGTGGGTATTGTGTGGTGGAAAGTTATGCAGAGGAGAGAGAAATGTGTAAGAATTGTTGTGAACCACAAATTCTTTGTCAAAAAGGGAAAGTGGAAGTTTTAATTGAGACAGACAAAAAAGGAAGGTTGGAAGTTTATTTAGGGACGGAGGGAGTATTATTTAAAGTTATTTTTCCAAAAAAAAAACATATCCTTATCTTATGTTACAACTTTCTTTGCATATACTTACATTTTGACCCCAAGCCGTGCCAAATTCATAGGCACAATTGGCAACTTCATGAGCAGCCTCTAGAGAATTGGCAAGTATTGTCATCTCTGGATATAAGGATCCTGAAATTTTTTGAATGGCTGATAAGGTTATTTCCTTTGATTTCCTTCCATTTCCCATGTTCATATGAGTAACATAAAGATTACAGAAAGAACTTTCAAAAATAAAATAATAAACCAAACCTTTCATTAGTAAATAGTAATGCTTTACGAGTGTAGGCATGATGACATACATTATCTTTTTGCAACAAAACATTTAGCTATTATTTATATATATAATCAAAATCTAAGGAATCGAGAATACAACCACAAGGAATGAATTCGTACTTGACAATGGGACAAAAAAATGATCATTCAAACATGCTATTGAGCAGCACGATTCGCACACCACATAAGAATAGCAATAATTGTGCTAGTAAAATCGCGCAACAAAATATTAATATCTTCCACCAAAAAAAACAAAAAATGAGAATAACCACCATCCGATTGAATGGCCGAGGTAAAATATAACAATCCGACTCAATATCAATTTTATCTCGATGCCACTCTACAACAAGCTTTGAGCCTCTCGGAGCCCTAGCGCTCCAGCCACCTTCGACGTACCCCCCATTGTAAGGCACCGACAGCCACATACATTGTTGAAGCGTTTGGGGCCCTCCGACCAAAACCTAGACAACAACTCTCTCCCACCACAACATCAATATTCGTTTCAAGTCTTTCATGTTATGATTTTTACCACCTCGCTACCTCTTTCCCAAATTTCCCCTACTCACCAACTCCCCCACTCTAGCATGACATCCAGAAAAAAAAAATCTGAAAATTGTTTGTATTATTAGTGTGAAAATTTATCTAAAAAATATTTGTACTAACCAACCCCAACCTTCACTCATGGATACACCCCTAATGACGCCTTACCCACCATAACTTTTTGTTCCACACTTTCCTACTACATACTGTTAAGATTTGGGGTTTAATCCTAAAAGCACAATTTGATAGGAGGAGTATCTAAGAGTCTTGTAAAGTGTTTTATTGTTTTATTATGTTCCGGTGTAGAAGAAATACTTTAACATGCCCCCTCGTCCCAGTCCGGCATTAACAATATCGGAGTGTGTAAATGGGCGAAACATATTGATGGAGTATATGGCCCAGGAACCCTCGGCCCATAGACTCCTACTTCTCCTATACAGCGGCCCAAGTGCCAAGAAGCCCACAATACGCACAGGGGTACCTTCGGCCTCCTTGGCCGAAGGCTCCAAATCTCACAGGGCTGCCAGTTTCGAGCATACGAAGCTACTGGGAGAAAACGGCGTGAAACAGTAGCCCTCGGCTACCAGGAGCCTTCGGCACTATCGTGCCCTCGGCATAAGGGAAGCCTTCGGGTACACAGACCCCTCGGCTGCATGGAGAGCCTTCGGCTAACAGCTCAATCATCAAAGATTCCCTTTTGAAACAAGCAACCACCGCATTCAATGCGGCGTCACGTCCAACCACCACATTTAATGGGGTGCACATGCCTTTGCCGTTGCCACCCCGATTGAGGTGACCCTCGGCCGTCAGATTATTGACACGTGTACCCTCATCGCATTTATGGCTGCTATAAATAGCAGCCCTTATTCTCCTTGTAAGACACGATGAGTTCATTTAATAAAATCGACTCTCTCTCCTCTTACTTGCTCTGACTTCTCTCTAGTTATTCCCGCAATAACCCCTCGAATAAGCTACCCCCCAGGTACACTGTCCATCATTTGGTGCTCTCGTTGAGAGGTCCGAACAATCAAGTGAGAAACCCTCCCCTCCACCAGACAAAAAACACCTACCGAAATGGGAAGAACTCATGGTCAGTCCAAAACCCTCGAGGAGAACCACGTAGCCCCCGGCGAAACTAACGGGGTCGAAGCCTCCAACAGGCTCTTGGTACCCGAAGGCGGTACCATCCTCGAATTAGAGCAGGCCACTACTGACCCCCGTCAGCAGCTGCAGAGGGCTGCCCTAGATGCCCGCATCAGCCTTGATAGCCGAAGGAAGAACCGAAGTGAGAACCAAGTTCCCCCTTCGGCTCTGGCCATCGAGCTTCAGGCCGCCTTCGTGGCCTTCGTCCAAAACATGGCGATAAACTCCGGTGCATTCATCTCACAGGAACCACTCCAACCCTATTTTGGAGGAAACGTCGCTTGTCTGCTGCCCCCTCCTCTGTTCAACAATCCCGTAATACGGATTGGCAACGCCGAGGGGGTCGTGGCACAAGACACCACCTCCCAAGAGGTTCAATCCAAAGATAAACATCACAAGGAGAAGCATCGAACCTCTGCCCTCGAGAGATTGGGCCAAACTCATGAATGCCAAGGGGTCCAAGACCGCCTCGGCGGGAAGGCAATCAGCAGGCCTCAGGAGAGCGGAGGCTCCGTCTCAGGGGCCGAGGAGAGAACTCCCCCTAAGGACAAAGGCAAAGGCCTCCTCCATGCCGACGACGCTAGGCATCAAATCAATCACGCCCAATCCTTCAGGGCGAAATCCCAAGGGGCTACCCCGAGGGATTACAAAGACGAAATCATCGAGGCCCTCCGACGCTAGCTGGAGGAGAAGGAGGCACGCCAAACGCCTCCCGCCTCGACTTTGGAGGCAGATCCGAAATACGCTGCCATACTCAAGGAAATGGAGGAGTTGAAGCGCAAGTTCGCCGAAGGCTCAGGTGAACCCCTCATCCAACTCCGCACAAGAACCCCCTTCACCCCAAGGGTGTTGGCGGCTCAGATCCCCGGCAAATATCGAGGGCAACCCATCAAACCATACGAGGGGAAGACGGATCCCCAAGAACACTATAGCAGGTACCAAAATAGTATGATGATGATGGGGGCATCGGATGAATACTTGTGCCATTGGTTCCTTTCCACCTTGGAGGGGCCGACGTATGAGTGGTTCAACCGGTTGCCCGAAGGCAGCATAGATTCATGGCAGGGAGCTAATTTCACATACCTTAAGTACTCCAGGACGAAGGGATGAAGGGGGAACCTAAGGCCCAACTCCACCGAGAGCATGTGTACTGAAAAACATCCCTCCGGGGGATGGGATAGCAGATCTTCGGGGCCCGGCTCCACAACCTGTGCCGAAGGCCCCACAAGGACCTGGAGAGCATGATACTCGGCACCCGAGGCCGTAGTCTTCACCTCGAGGGCGGTGGTGTCCAAATAGGAGTGCCCCTCGGGAATCCCAACCGGCTGCCCGGCATCAACGGCTGCTTGCCTCTTCTTCGGGGCAGCCCTCAGCTTCTTCTTCTTTTTCTCCTCGGCTACCCGGAGGGGTTGGACGTCCAACGGCCAGGACGTGCTCGCCTCACCAGCACCTCGAGGGGGCATAACGGTGACCGTCACTCGACGGTGCTCTTTCTCCTCCTCTTCTTCAGCCACTTGGACAGCGATAGCCACCTCTTCATCTTCGGCTACTTGCTCGAAGTCCTCTGCTTCCATCTCCACCCGAAGGTTGTTCTGTACCTCCTCAGCTACGGCGAGATCGTTGTTCGTCGAGAGCTACTCACTTGAAGACTCTGCATCGGAGATGCTCTCTGACGCAACCGAGGGCTCTCTTGAAATGTCTTGAGAGTCACTTTCCGCCGACATGTCCTTCTGATTATTAAAGGTCGGAGGGTTGAAAAGAGAAGGGATCTCTAGAACCCTAAGGGTACTATAACACTCGATCTAAGGGTGGAAGAGCAAAACTTACTAAAAAGCTCAAGAATAGGAGGAGAACTGACCTCAGAAAGCTTGGTTTGATCGAAAGGGAGTTTCTCTCTCTAGAAAAAACTTTGGCAGAGCTTCGCTTCAATGAAATCGCACAAGGCAAATGGGTTCTGCCTTGGGGTATTTATAGGCTTCCCAACTATGGTTAGCCTCGAAGCATGGGCCTCCGGTTAAAAGCCCATCATTACATGCCGCCTCTTCACCCAATGGGTGGCACCCGCCCGCCTTCAGCCAACGAAAGCATGCCACGTGGACCCCACTCCCAACGGTAATATCCCAACGGCTATATTTCAGAAACACTGAAGTGTCCTCAGATGGTTGCCTCCGGCTATCACACCCAGCAGCCTTCGGTGAACAACTTTCACCAAGTGCTTTCGAGCAAGCAGCAGTATAAGCCTTCGGCTTATCAATGTTGCCACTCATCAAAGTATACTTGGATGATAGCCTTCGACTATCATCCACAGCCGCCTCCGGTGGACATATGTCACCTAGTACCTTCGAGCAAGCAGCAGCATAAGCCTTCGATTTATCAATGTTTCCACTCCTCAGTCCCTGACACCCCTCGGGGACATACACAAACATCATAACTCCTTCAGCCTGAACTTGCCTTCGGCCTAAAGGAGTGGGGGACTGGGGTACATCCCTCGGGAATCACACAGAACTAAAAACAAAAATTCCCGCATGCAAAAAATCTACAAATAACGCATGTAGCCTTCGGTTGCATACGTCATTACACCCTCCGGCAAAAGTAGAATGTCACAAAATTTCCACAGGTCACTAATAATGATGGAGCAGCCTTCATCACAACACATACAACTATTATCTACACTTCCCTCAGAAAACCCTCGACATGTGGGGGACTGAGGGGAAGCCCTCGGCGAATACCAGTAAAGCTCTCCGGTAAAGCGTAAGCCTTCGGTAGAGCCAACACATCAACGCAATTACTCTTTTTCCCTCAAGTACCTTTCGGCAAAAGGAGTGGGGGACTCCTGATGGAGTATATGGCCCAGGAACCCCCGGCCCATAGACTCCTACTTCTCCTATACAGCGGCCCAAGTGCCAAGAAGCCCACAATACGCACAGGGGTGCCTTCGGCCTCCTTGGCTGAAGGCTCCAAATCTCACAGGGCTGCCAGTTTCGAGCATACGAATCTACTGGGAGAAAACAACGTGAAACAGTAGCCCTCGGCTACCAGGAGCCTTCGGCACTATCGTGCCCTCGGCATAAGGGAAGCCTTCGACTTATCCAAGCCTTCGGGTACACAGACCCCTCGGCTGCATGGAGAGCCTTCGGCTAACAGCTCAATCATCGAAGATTCTTTTTTGAGACAAGCAACCACCGCATTCAATGCGGCGTCACGTCCAACCACCGCATTTAATGCGGTGCACATGCCTTTGCCGTTGCCACCCCGATTGAGGTGACCCTCGGCCGTCAGATTGTTGACACGTGTACCCTCATCGCATTTATGGCTGTTATAAATAGCAACCCTTATTCTCCTTGTAAGACACGCTGAGTTCATTTAATAAAATCGACTCTCTCTCATCTTACTTGCTCTGACTTCTCTCTAGTTATTCCCGCAATAACCCCTCGGATAAGCTACCTCCCGGGTACACTGTCCATCACATATCATTAACAAGCTACCCTTAATCATGGGTGCTAAACAAACAGTCAAACTACAATTGAACTTGGCTTTGATACCATGTAAGACTTGGGGTTCAATTCCGTCCTAAAAAGGTTAACATGATAGGAGGATGAGTTCAAAGTTTTATAAATTTTTTGTAGCATTCAAGTGTGAGATAAATACTTTAACACTACCAGTTAGGTGCTTCAACAAAACATGATCAATTTGCAACTTCACTCCTTAGTTTTGGATGAAAACAAAAGTTTAACCCACTCCAATAATTACTCGAGGTTCTGTCTGTTCTCACCGGCTCACCCTTTCTTTTCATATACCCCACGGCCAATGGAAATGATATACATCATCTTAGATTCTGAGTATCAAGTTCACATTAAAAAAAAATTGTCTACAGGGAACAATTTGTCTACAAACGTATAAGGTTACATGTATGAGAATAATGCTATCTTTACCCCATATGACATTATTATGTTTGAATTAGGTGTAAATAAGCAAAATAATGATTGTGAGGTCGATGTTCGTTCAAAGGAAAATAATAAAGTAATATCACAAATTATATACTCCCTCCGTCCCATTTATATTTTCCCGTTTTACCTTTTCGGGAAGTCCCACTTAAATTGTCTCATACCATATTTGGCAAAGTTTGTGTGACTCTAAATAATTCTTACTTTATTCTTAATTTATCAATTAATATCAACCACACAAACCCACTTTTTTAATAACCGTGTCACCCTCTTCCGTTCCAATATAAATGGGACGGAGGTAGTACTACGTAGTACTTTAAATAGGAAACGGGAAAGTTTTACGGACAAATAGAAATGGAAAGTTATCATGAATGGGTTAGATTTTTTTTCTCGCTTAAATCTTACACACGAACTTGGCCGATAAAATAAAAAGTTTAGTATTAATTTGCAGAGAAACAACTGTGAATCAAACGGAACGGATAAAAATCATGAAGAAAGAAAGTACATTAATTTAGACATACAATTAACGCACATAGTAGTAGGGAAGAAGTTGTATACGTAGTTACGTACCACTACTGGTCCTACAATTTGGTGGCGAGCCGTACATCACTTTTCTTCTGTGAAAGCATCCGGTTCCCATATACAGTGATCCTTGTATCGCGGCAATTCCTCGCATCATAGTCTGCATATTAAATGATATTTTCAACTTCTCAATTTATGAGTATTTGTCAATTAATAATGACATAACATTTTTATACGTAGTATTATAAGTTGAACAAATTATAATAATCAAAATAACTAAAGTAGTTTATGAATATTTGGCTGCCTACAATTGCTGAACAACACCATTACCTATATTTATTTAGTTTTTATTTATTTTATTAATACAATATATTTTCAATGTATTGTTTTTCAGAATATACCAAATTTAGTCGATTCAGCCAGAACTTTATTAAATTTAGCAGATTCAATCAATACTACTATTACCAATAGAGTTCTATGCAGAAAATTGTTAAGTGCAAGTAGTATTTATAATCATTTAAAAACAATATTTTTGGCATTTTGATTATAAAATATAACAAGATTGGTTTCGGAAATAATACATTCTACTTAAAACATTTTAAAGGTAAAAAAGGGAACGTGATTGTAAGGATGTTTCTAATTCAACAAGATATTGAAACAGTACAAATTGTTCAATGTAAGACCAAAACTTACACAAATATGCACCAGGTGGAATATTATTAGGACTCCAGGTTGTAGATAATATGCACCAGGAAAAATAGGTGGAAGCCGACATCCTCTTCCTACCATTCCGTATTTCCACCCCTCTTCCGAAGAACCTAAAGTCGGCTACATTTGTACTTTGAAGTGCTAGCGTGTACCTTTGTTCTACAAAGGTTCCCGCCGCACAAAAAAAAATGGAGTATACCCCCTCCATCCCTATTTAAAAGTGTCTCTTCGTTTAAGAAATAGACACTGTTTTGAAATTGTTTGATATTGTTTGACACTGTTTTGTTTAAAAAAGTGTGATGTTTTTAGAGACGGGGAAGTACATTTTTTTGTATACTCATTGGTTTACATACTTTTCCAAAATGAGATGTTTATGTTAGTTATGTACACAGGTGAAGTAGAAGTGTACATAACAGTTTTACCTTTGTTGGTCTTTCAGGTTTGATAGTGCTAGTTGGTTACGAATAGTTACTGTCAGTGTTGGTCTCTTTGAATTTGTTGTAATGATTTGAATCATGATGGTATTAATATAAACGGTTTTTACTTTCAAAAACAAAAGTTTACCCTTAGGTTTATATCTAGTTTTTTTATTTTTTGTACACACTCTCTATTGCATAAAAAAATTAAAGTTAACTTTTAGATGATGTGTGATTACTGAGAAAAATGAATTGATGTATTTAATACTCCCTATGTTTCAGAAAATTCTTTTCAGTTTGACTTGGCACGAAGATTAATAAAATGGAATAAAATGGAAATGTATGGTTGTTGTTGTGTAAGAAAAAAGATGAAATGACTGTGAACCACAAAAATTGTCCAAAAATGGTAAGTGTGAAGAATTTTTTGGGACGGCCCAAAAAGGAAAGTGGGGAGAATTTTATGGGACGAAAGGAGTATTGAATTGATAAAATAATACTCTCTCCGTCCCAATTTGATGGTTCTGCTTCTTTTGGGCACAAAGATTAAGAAAGTGCGGTAGAAAGACTAAAGAACCTTACTTTATTTATTGTTCATCCTTTTCTTTTTACTATTCATTTAAAAGTAGGGGTATAAATGATAATCCACTTTTAATTCTTTACCAAAAAGGAAAACAAGACCATCATTTTGAGCAGGGCCGGCTTTAGGGGCATTTACCCTAGACATTTGTCTAGGGCCCCCAAAATTGAGGAGCCTCCAATTTCTAAATTATCCATAGTAGTATTATATATACATTTAATTTAAATCGTAAATAGTTTCAATTTTGAAAGTTACGCTAGTTCACGCTTGCGGCTTTTAAATACGAAATATACGGCTTTAGCACATTGATGCTTATCGCACCTTCAGGCCAATTCACATCTTAAAGTCTTCTGTCTTTTAAGCATTTATAATTTGATTTCTAACTATTTTTCTATTATATTTAGATTGTTATGGTTCTTAAATTTTAATGCTTATTAAATTATTTATTCATTTAGCTTTTAGTTGTGAAAATAAATTGATTAAAATAACTCGTTGAATATGTGTATTTCAGATTTGATATCATTTAGTTGTGAGAATCGGTTTTACATTTTTTAGTTGTGATATCATTTAGTTGGGGAACTAATTTTTTAATCTTTCATTAATTGTGAAATTAGTTTCGTTTAGAAAATTTATTTAGTGCTACCTATTAATTAGTTTTCACTCCATAAAAAATAACATTTTCTTATTTATTGAATACGTAGTATATGCTTAGTTAGTGCTGCTTCAATTCGGTTGAATATTTGCTTATTTATTGCTACCTATTATATATTTAGTTTGTAATTGCATTTGAGGAAAAAAATGGGCTGCTTATATTTAGTGCTGCTTCAATTCGGTTCTTGAATATTTCCTTATTTATTACTCCGTATTACGTATTATTTCGTACAAAATTGTGTGTTTTGTGGTCAAGGAAAAAGAAAACAAATTACATTCTTCCTCAAACATTGTTGACAAATGCATATAAATCTCATGTTTGCGAATGAGTATGAAGTACTCACTTTACATTATGCATTTTGTATGTAATTTACTTACATAACATATTGTCTAGGGCCTCAAATTTGTTGGAGAAGGCCCTGATTTTGAGACATCCCAAAAAGAAAATATAGGACTACCATTTTGGAACGAATGGATGGAGTAATAAGATAAGAATAAAGTAGAATTACATGTCCGTCCGTAATTGCATTATGAGAGAGAGGGTCTTACTCTCATAGTGATTTTGAATTGGTTTCCGTACGGGTCATCCTCCAATGAACTGTAGAAGCTCTGCGGAAATTGAACAAAGCCAGCATCTTTTTCATCCTCTGCCCCGAGCAGAAAGCACATGGCATGGAGTACCACTTTTGGGTCATTTGCAAAGCAGTCACAGTCCACGTTCAGCATAAATGGTGCATTTGTCATCACCCCTGATGCTCTAGTCTGTTACATTCCACTTTGTTATGATATTGAATTATTGATATACTCTCTCTTCCAAAATGGTTGGCCAATGTTGAAATTTGTGCAGAAGGGAGATAATTAACTTTAGCCACTATTTTTGTTTTTTTCCGTAGAATTTTTTCATTATTTTATATTAAAAAAAGAATATTTTCAAAAATATTACTCCGTACTAAAATACAAGTAAATCATATTTACAAAAATATGACTATTACTTACTACTACGTATAATGTAGTGTCAAAGTAACTTAAGGTTAAAATTTGCATTGAGAAAATTACTAAAACAAACACAAATTATTAAGTTTAAAATTTGCATTGAGAAAATTACTACAAAAACATAAATTATTAAGTTTAGAATTTGAATTGAGAAAATCCAGCAAATATATTAAAAACAAGCACATCTATGCTGATAATATATTGATTTAACAAAAAAAAATACGACGGAGTATTACCAGAACATTCATGGCTCCTGCTTTGTGATGATGATGAATTTTTGGACGCTTTTCTCTAGAGACGTAGATTAGATGAGGAACCGCATCTTCTTCCGGAATAGTCCCCTTGTTTTCCCAAATGACCTGGAATTTACTAACAAATCGTTGTCCTTTATGACCACATGTTGTGGTTACCAATTTAGTAAACACGTTTTTATAGCATTGTTTACTAACATGTTCTAAGTGTTTTACTTTTACATCTTCTCTTCCACATCATTCACCATCTTTTCTACGTCCTCCGTATGGTAAAGATCACTACAAGAGGTTTTGGCACAATATTTAAGGAGGAAATAGTAGGGGTAATGAATAATGTAGAAAAAGTAGGAAAAAGAAGGTGAAAAAGTATGAAAGAGAAGATAAAAAATAGAAAAAATAAGGGTAGTTGAGTATTTTTAAAAGAAAAAAACTTAGCAAAAAGGGAAAATGTAACAAACTTTTAAATACATCCCAAAAGAGAAAGTGTAGCAAACTTTAGAATACGGATGGAGTACTTTTTTCTATATAATTGAATATTCCTACTTTTTCTTGATATACTATGTCAAATCCTGTTATGGCGAACAATATTATATTGCATCTTACATTCTTACCTCTTTCAACATACTACCTCCGTAACATAAAAATCTTCTCATTTCAAAAGTAGGTAGATTAAGAATAGTGAAAGATGATACTCCCTCCGTAACATATATATGTTCCCATTTGAAAAGTAGGTAGATTAAGAATAGTGAAAGGGGATATAAATTATTGAGGGTATGATGGGAAGATAGTGAAATAATGCGTTGGAATGAAGGATAAATCCAAAAAAAGTAGGTGTAATAGTGTATTATTTTTAAAATTATTGAGGGTATGATTGGAAGATTATGAAATGAGAAGATATGAATGTTACATCCAAAAAAGGAAAGTGGGAAGATATAAATGTTACGGAGGGAGTATGAATTATTGAGGGTATGATGGGAAGATAGTGGAATAATGTGATGAAATGTAGGATAAATCCAAAAAAAGTAGTTGTAATAGTGTACTCCCTCCGTAACATATATATGTTCCCATTTGAAAAGTAGGTAGATTAAGAATAGTGAAAGAAAATATAAATTATTGAGGGTATGATGGGAAGATAGTGAAATAATGTGATGGAATGAAGGATAAATCCAAAAAAAGTAGGTGTAATAGTGTATTATTTTTAAAATTATTGAGGGTATGATGGGAAGATATGAATGTTACATCCAAAATGGGAAAGCGGGAAGATATGAATGTTACGGATGGAGTATTATTTTAAGAATTATTGAGTGTATGATGGGAAGATTTAGAAATGGGAAGATTTTTTGTTACGGACGAAAATGGAAAGTGGGAAGATTTTTTTGTTACGGAGGGAGTAATACTCTCATGTTTCATTATATGTCTTCATGGATCTAAAAATCGGGCTAGGCGCCCGCCTAGGCGCCGCCTAGTCACTAGGCGGTGGCCGGGCGGCCCGATTTTGGTGTAATCGGTCGAAAAAAATGGTCGGGCGCCTAGGCGGCTAGGCGGGCTCCTGGGCGGGCTAGGCGGTGGCTAGGCGGTCCGGATTAATTTTTCCCCCGATTCAACTTTTTTCCCCGTTTTGACTTAAAACCACGTTTGATCAATAAGAATTCTATTTCTATATAGTTTAGCTTCATATTACTACGACAAAAAATAATTTTGACATATTTATAACTTTTTAGAGTGTATATATACATTTTTAGAGACTAAAAATATACAAATCTCTACATTTATCTATTAATTATTTTATTATTTATAATTTTTATACATAAACCATAATATCTAATGATTATATGAGCTATTTCTATTTTCAAAATAATATATAAATTATTGATAATAAATTTAAATTTCAATGAAAATAAAAAAAAACAAAGAAATACAGGAAAATACCTAGGCGCCCTAGTCGGCGCCTAGGCGCCCGCCTAGGCGGGCTAGGCGCTAGGCGGCCAGTCACCGCCCGACTAGCGCCTAGCGCCTTTTAGAACATTGTATGTCTTACTTTCTTTTTTGGATTATCTAAAAATAATTGTCACGTTTCATTTTTGAAAATAAATATGTGATCTACAAAATTTCACTTATTTATATTCAAATTTCAACTATATTTTTTTAAAATTTTCAATCACATAATTAATAATTGTAGATACCTAACACGGAACGGATATAGTGCCTCTTTTTCAACCATTCTAAAAAATTTACTCCATATCATTGACTATTGGTTTGACAATTCAATATCGTCTAGTTTTGAGAAGTGTTTGAGATTGCTTCTATATCAAAATCATGATTTGTTAAAGTGATTTTGGAGAAAGTATTTAATAATAAAAGTTGGTAGTGTTTGACAAAAAAGTGATTGTGAAAAAGTAAAAGTTGATAATGTTTGGTCAAAAGAGTGCTTTTTGTGTAATAAAAAGTGAAAAACAATTTAAATCATCTTTCTACCTGCTTTCAGCTTTTGGTTTTTAAGTACTTAATCTAAACAGAATTGTCATTTGAAAACACTCTTTTCATCTTTTTTAAGCCAAAAGTTGAAAATCATTTTTTCAAGTTTTAGCAAACACTACCTTAATTTCCTTATTTTTTTAAAATTTTTTCGTATCCATTCTAATATTAAAATAATAAAAAATTTAGTACTCCTGTGTAATTCTATATAAATGTAACAAATAAAACTGTGATATTCTTGCCACGAGTTGTGATATACTCTATCTGTCCTTTTTTATTTAGCTAAATTTAACTTTTCAAATTAATGGAGTTCATTTTTGACGAATTATATATTTATACACATAACTATTGATAATATGAAAATAATATCAAAATATTATTTGTCAAAAAATATACCATAAAAATATAAAATAATGAAATTTCACATTAATATAGTAGTTCAAATAATTGGTCAAATATTACCATCTTTGATTGAAAAAGTAAAAAATGATTAAATAAAAAAGGAGGGAGGTAGCGTTTTAGTTTCTTTTAGATTTAATTTGCGATAGTACACGTTGTTAGTTGTACACTTCGTATAAACTATTTCACGCTTACAAATATACAAGGGTCTAGTACATACAGAGCCCGTTTGGTAGCACGCAAATCGGCTGTTTTGGCTGATTCTGCTGAAATTTATGAAGTTCTGGCTGAAGTATCTGTTTTGGCTGTTTCTGCTGATTTAAGTAAAAATTATTTTTAAAATCTATTTTATTAATAAAATAAAGAAAAAGTTATATGTAAAAATAGCTAAAATGGTCATCTACAGTAACTTCAGCCAATACAGCCGGAAAAGTAACTCTAACCTTACTTTTTCTGCTTATTACACAATTTAGCGCGCGAAAGTAAAAGTTAAGTGTTTGGTGAAAAAGTAACACTATATGATATCAAAATTTGAAATGAAAAAGGAATAACTAAGCTAGGTGAAGCAATTTAAACTTTACCTTTACGATGGAAGAGTGGTCTCTTCGTTTAATCTTTGAAAAAACGGAAAATTGAGCGGTAAGGCCAAATGCCATAGATTCCTTACTCGCATCTTCTATCTTCGCGCACAGCTTTAAATAATCATCCTAAAATAAAGAAATGTGTTTTCCTTAGTAATACTCTAATTCAAAATGAAAGTCAAAAGTTAATTTCACAAATATTAAGGAAATAAATTTATTGAGAGATAAATGTTAGGAAAAACTGTCAATTTGGTTCTCGTACTTTAATGAAAAAGTCAATTAAGTTCTCGTATTTTTAAAAAGATCAATCAAGTCCCCAAACTTTGTAAAAATGTTCAATTGAGTACACATGGTGGTCTACGTGTGAGCTACGTCATCAACAAATGGCTGACTAGACTTCCACATGTGCGCCACATCAACAAAAATTATTGATGATTGGGCTGCCACATGTGCACCATGTCAGCGGGTGACCTGCTGACATGGCAAGTAACCTACAAATGTACTCAAGTGAACGTTTTTACAAAGTTCGAGGACTTGATTGATCTTTTTAAAAGTACGAGAACCTAATTCATTTTTTCATGAAAGTACGGGACCCAAATTGATAATTCCCTAAATTTATCATAAAGTACACTGTTTTTATACTGTTTGACAACATTTTGCATTATTGTCATATTTTGTATTGTATTGGTATAGATTTGTTTATTGTCATATTTTATATTGTATTGGCATAGATTTATGTATCGAAAAGTGTCACTTTTATTTTGAAATGGAGGAATTATATACGTAGTGGGTAGTATTTAAATATTAGAAATACTAATATTGAATCGATCATCATTATTTTTCGTAAATTAATAGATGAACAATGAATGACTCTTTTTCTAGTACTAGTATCAAGACAAATTATACCCCTTTGAACATATAATAAGAAACAATTTCTAAAATAAGAATAAATGTTTTAGAATTCTTGGATAGAGTCGATTGAGTAATTAATATCAAGTTAGGAAAAAATTGACATGTCTAAAGTTTGGTAATATCAAAATTTTATTTCTATTTAGAAAATAAAAATATAACAGTCTTATTAGGACAACTTCTTGGATAAAAATAGTGAGGCCACACCATAATTGTGAGTGGCATAAAATATTTTGAGTATTTTTTTTTTAAATTGGTCATGGTCTTTACTAATCGAGTTCAAATATTGTTCCACTCTATTGCATTAGAATTTGATTGATAACTGAAAAAGTTGATCAATTTATAAAAAATCATACTGTATGTAAGGAGATAGACAGTAAACGACCAACGTCTCATATATAATTGTACAAGGATAACGATTTATCTTTGCATATTATAATACGTAGTATGCAGTATATGGAGTATATTATATTAGTACTAGTATTATGCAATATATACACATATATATTTACCTTGATTTTGTTCCATTCGTGTTGGAATTCCAAGGAGCGATCATGTGGGCATGCAGGGTTGGCGTGAAAATATCGAAACGGAGCTCTAACGGCAACGTCAAACTTCTTACAGAAGGGAACCCAAATCTGAGCAAACTTGGATGCTTCCACCAGAGAAAAGAAGGTCAACGGCGATGCACCGTCGTCCGACACATAACACGCCAGCTTGTTCGCCGGATAGTCCACCGCCAATAAAGACAGCACCGTGTTCACCGTTATGATCGGCGGTTCCAGCTCTGGATCAGCCGTCGTAACGAACATGTCCACCGCCGGAAACTCCGCTAGCGTCTTATCTTCCAGCCTTTTATAAAACCATCAATCGGTCACGTTGTCTCACACGCAGATTAAACTAATTACTGACTTTACTCCAATAGTAATCTAGCCCCATTTAAATTATCGCCGTTTTGACCGATGATAAGTAAGGGATATTATCTTGTTACTGTGTGACCGAAGTTTCACTACTTTAACGCCATGTTTGGTGAGCATAAGTCCATGACTTCTAGCTTTTGTACTGTTCAAAAAAATCCTAAAAACTTCTAGTTGAGTGTTTGACATGACAATATTTAAGAACTTTTCAAAAATTAAAAGATCTTGTATTAATTAATCCTAACAGCTTGTATACCAAACCGAACTAAAACAGTCAGTTTTTCATCAAACAGCTACCACCTTATATTTTTAAGATCTTTTCAGTCACTAAAAGCTAACAGCTATTAAAAAGCTCACAAAAATATCTTTTCAGCTAGTTGTGCCAAACATGCCCTAAATTTTGAGACTTACATCTTGTCAAATTTTGGGACCAACTTTGAATTACTTCTTCACTCCCGAAATTATGTTCATTCTTTTCGGTTCGTCTCAAATTTATCTCCTCTTTCCCTTTTGGCAAAGAATTTGTGGTTCACAATCATTCTTATACATTTCTCTCTCCTATGCACAACTCTCCACCACATATTTCCTACTATCCTAATCCCCGTACCCAATCAAAACCGAAGTTAATTCTGGGACGGAGGGAGTAGTATGTTTTCTTTTGCACTAAAATTTGTTGGTCTGGTCTGGTCTGGTCTGTTTAAGTCGGGTCTGGTTTGATCTGGTAAACGTCTGGTCTCTGTGTATTTTATAATTATGTAAGTTTGGTCTGGTCTGATCTGGTCTGTTTAAGTCTGCTATGGTCTGATCTGTTTAAGTCTGGTCTGATCTGGTCTGTTTAAGTCTGGTCTGATCTGGTCAGGGACTGAAAACAGTCCAAAAGAAAACATCCTTAGGAAGGACCAACTTGAAGGTAAATTCACTCCAAATTTAAGAAGTGTTTTAATTATTTGTATAAAACATTTCATGTAAAATTCATTCAAATATGATTTTATATTGTCTCATTGGAGAGCGCACATCGTACAACCAGATAATTTATGTTAAAAGAAATGAGTATATGATTTAAAAGACCCGATTGTATGGCGAGCACCCCGGCTGTATGATATGATTTGCCGTGTCATTGCCTCTTTGTTACATTCCAGGTTGGACCCTTTCCAAGACCCTCTTTATATAATTTCCATATTACAAATAGTTGAAGGGAAATTTTGAGTTTGCATCCCACTTTTTGGGTGATATTGGACTTTGCACCCCATTTTCAAAATTTTTAGACTTTGCACCCTATCTACAACATTTTGTGAAGAAAAAATCTTGAATGGGGGGTGCAAAGGCAAAGACATTTTAGGAAAAATTGGGTGCAAAGTCTTAGAGTTTTGAAAACGGAGTGAAAAGTCTAATATCATCAAAAAAGCAGGGTGCAAAGTCAAAATATCCCATAGTTTAATCATATACTCCATACAAATATATTATCCTTCAATGTTATGCATTATTGACTCGCCCTAAAAATCAACCATTATTAACGAAAATAACATTCATATCTTCGCACTTTTCTTTTTTTGGTCGTAACATTCATATCTTCCTATTTCTAAATTTTCTCATCATATCCTCAATAATTTTAAAAATAATACACTATTACAACTATTTTTTTACCCTTTACTACATCACATTATTTCACTATCTTTCTATCATAAACTCAATAATTCATATTTTTTTTCACTATTTTTAATCTACCTGCTTTTGAAATGTGAACATATTTACGACGGAGGTAGTATGAGAAATTTAAACTAAAACGAAGTTAATATATACTCCGTACTTATCAACTAACTAAAGATGCACATACCTTTGCAAGAGGCGTTCTGGGTAAGTTTTGGTTTCAACATAATTCCACTTAATGTTGATGGTGAGAATCCAATTGAAAGCGAACCAAGACTCGCAAACGAGCGCAAGAAGCCAAGGGAGGGAGTAGTCATGGCTGCTGAGAGAAAGTAATCTATAGCTGATGAGTGATAGGAGAAGGCACAGAATGATGAGTTCTACTGTTCTCGAGATTTTACTGTTTAGGAATTTTACTTCGTAAAAGGGAAGCGATGGAGGAGATTTGGGTGCCATGATATGGCGCCGCGGGAAGCTAGAAATTTCACTACGCAATAATGGATCGGATGAGGAAGCTAAGATACTGGCTCAATTCAGAGCTCTGGTTCCATATTATTTAAACTCCTTCCAAATTAGAGTAAGTTAAATCAATTGAAGTCACGGATGACGTACGTATTTTAACTTAATCCTCATAAATAATACTCTCACTTTCCTTTTTCCTCCATAACAAAAAAAATCTTCTCATTTCTAAATCTTCTCATCATACTCTCAATAATTCTAAAAATAATACACTATTACAACTACATTTTTTTAGATTTATCCTCCATTCCATCACATTATCCTACCATCTTCCCGTCATACCCTCAATAATTCATATCACCTTTCACTATTCTTAATCTACTTACTTTTGAAATGGGAAGATTTTTAAGTTACAGAGGGATATGTTGTACGTGGTACTCTTATCTACTTTTGTATCAATAAGATTTTAGAAAATTACTCATAGGAGTGACAAATTTCAAAATATGACTTTTGTATTTTTATTTCATAAACAGAAGTAATTTCAGTCAAGTTTGAAATTAATTTGGCAGAAACTGACATATTTAAATCCTGATAATATCAAACTTGGAAGAAATTGCTTCTATTTAGGGATAAAAACATGTAGTCCTTTTTCAGAATTTCAAAAACTTTTCTCTTGACCAATAAACAAATTGATTTAAGGAAGTAAACCGTTTTGCCGTAGTAAATCGTTTTATGTAAAAATATTACCATAGTATTATTTCTCCATTTGTTAAATTTTTCACTATTCACATGTTCAATGTAGCTGTTGGAATATTGGGCCCAAGCCCAATACGCCCGGCCCAAAGTATAAAATAAGCTCAGGACAAGCAGGAAGCCCAACGCAATCGGAAAGGCCCAAGACGTCCCGAACAGGGGATACCTGAACAGGATTCAGGTATATTTGTCCACTTGAAACAATCATACAGAGAACTGGCATCAAAACACCCGCAAAGTGGTCTCGCACTCCAGACGGGGTACCCGACTGGGGGATCAGCAAGTGGGAACTGCATTTAATGCTAAAGTATTACATGAACAAGTGGGAGCATGGGTACAAAGGCGGCAAAGACAATAGCCAACTGGGTTCGGCCACGTGTCCATCTCATATATTTCTCCTTAGTATAAATACCTGCATTGAATACATTGTAAAGGGTTAACATTTTGATACTCGGATCTTAGCAATAAAATCATCTCTTGTGTTGTATTCAAACTCACACTGACCTACCGTTCGGGCAGTTTCATTGTAATCACAGAATTACGTAATACAATTAGCTTTTGAGTTAGATATTAAATTCACTGTTGTATATTTGATACACCTTTTTACACCAAGACCAAGATCCTTAAATATCCAAAGCGTGTGTTGGGCTTTCGGATCTACGGGACTAAACCTCAACAGTAGCCTTGACTATGATATATTATTAATGCATTAGTAAAAAAATTTAAAAAATATAATTAAATTTGTATCGTTGCAAATTTAAAAAAAAAATTAATTTTTTACGAATAGAGAATAATATAAACTACTCTCATCCCAAAAACGTTTCTCATCCTTAAAACTTTGACCATCTATATACTTTTATTGAAAATTATTTATAATATAAAAAGGGGTAAAGGGTTGAATACACCCTGTACACGTCCAAAATGCTCAATTCGCCTCATGAGGTAAAAAAAAAACTCCAATTCACATCCTGCATTCGTAAAAAGAGTTCATATTTCATTTTTGCAGGTAATAGTCCAGTCAACACAATATTCTCTGTCAGATGCCAGATGTGCATCCGATGTGGCAGTTTAAGGGGTCAAATAAGCTCTGGAACCCAATTGAGATGTTCAATTTACTCTCTCAACTGTTAAAAAGTGTCAAAATTGCTATAAAATAATAAATTCAAAAAATAAAAAATTTAAAAATATATATAAAAATAAAATAAAAGTCGATAGTAAAAAATATAGATGTTTGTTTAATAATATAATAAATAAATGTTTATATTTGCGGTAAATTAAAATAAAAAATGAAAATAAGCTAAAACAAATTCTTTTGAACTAAATAATATAAAAATGTAATAAATATTTTTATGTTATACTTTTGATATAGTATAAACTTGTTACGGTGTATGTAGTTAGTATGAAGTATATTATAGAGTTGGGAAATAAAATAATACAAAGTATATCTATGCATGTGTGTAATTTACATATAAATATAAGGCAAAAATGTTAAGGATTTCTTGGGAGTGATCGTTGAGGAATGTAGCACCGTCCCCAAATGTATTTACTTTTATGTGAATATTATATTTTAACCTTATGGAATGGTTAAAGAATTTATGATGTTACGAATTTTTATTAATTCTTTCGCACGAATAGTAAATTCGCACGTGGGGCCCGCACCGGGAGCGGGGGCCGCCCAATATTCCCGGGACCACATAAATTATCCATCTCGGTCTAGATAATATTTATATGGTGGAGAATAACTCATTTGAGCCATGGAAAGGTCCGGAGTTGACCGATTGGTCAAAAGAGGCCTAAATACCGGTATTGGCAATTGAACCGATAAAAGCCCGAAATTTAATTTCGGGGACTTATAAATTAAAGTTGGGGTATGAATATTCATCATAAGAGTCTCAATGATGGAGAGCACATAATATATTTTATTTGACCCGATAAAATAAAATATATTTTAAATGGTCCGAAAAATACAACTTTCGGGACAAAGTGTACACTTCGGGACAAAAGGGGCTGACCTCCCACTTGGGTGGGGGCCAACCCACGAATTTGGTCACCCAAATTCAAAGTTTGGCCGGCTGGAGTGAAGGGAGGGCATGTGAGTGGTGTGTGAAGTGAAAGGAAGAGCATCAAACAAAATAAGGTGGATCCCATCCACACTTATTTGCTTAATGAAACAAAAGGTTACCCTCACTCCTCCCTCCCCCCTTGTTTTCGGCCAAGTAATACCCAGGAAGAAGAAGAAAACCACCCTCCTTCATTCTCCATTGTTGAGGAGAGCTCAACAAGAAGGAATCCCAAGAAAAGGAGCTAAGGTGCTAAAAGTGTGAAAAGATTAAGGTAATGACCTTATTATAACTTCTTCTTTATTTTTCTTCTACCATATGAGATATACATCATGTGAAGAATCCTTAAGAGGATTCTACATGTTGTAAGTATGGATTAATGGGTTGGAGAGTGGTTCTAAGTCCAAGAACGGATTTAGAAGCCAAACCGGCAAGTTCACCAGAAAATAACCTTTTAGGGGTTGTTTGTATTGATTAAGGTTTTATGATGTTGAAACCTTGTTAGGAACTTGATATAGAGTATTTTGAGCCTCACCGGAGTTTCGCCGGAGTTTCGCCGGAGTTGGTCAAAGTTGGCCGGAGTTGGTCAAAGTCCGCCAAAGTTCAACCGGGAAGCGTAGAACGCGCTTAAGCTCACTTAAGGTGAGGATGACCGACTATATTGTTTATAATTATTGGGTTAATTTCATAAGATTGCCTAAATGAATTATATGTGTTTGGCATGAGTTATTTATGATTAAGAATGCCTAAAATGGAATATAGTATTGTTCATAAAGAAAATGCATAATATACGAATTTAAGAATAAATTGTGTATGATTATGTGTTGTGATTATAATGACCCAATTGTGGTGTAGGCTATAAAATTGTATGGTGATAAATATGCTTTTACCTCATGAAGGGAATAAAAGTGATATTTTGATATTGAATCAAGTTATACTTGAAGGTGAAATTAAATTGAAATGTATGAATTATTATGAAATTGGCGTTGGCTTATTAAGATTAGACGACTAGTATTGAAGACTAGTCGGGGATGTTAGTTCAATAGTGCTTGGGAGCTAATCCCAAAATATTGAAGCTAAGTAACCTTAAAGGATAATTAGGGTGGACTTTACGAAGTCAAGTTATGTTAGGAGTAGACCTCAAGGGTTACTCAAAAGGAATGGAGCCTAGACTAAGAAGTGGTTTAGGGATTAGATGACGTGACTACGAGCCGAGCTCTAGCACGTGGTAGTATGACTATGAGCCGAGCTCTAGCAAAAATGTAGGAATGACTATGAGCCGAGCTCTAGCAAAATGTAGTGTGACTATGAGCCGAGCTCTAGCACAAAAATGTAGGAATGACTATGAGCCGAGCTCTAGCAAAATGTAGTGTGACTATGAGCCGAGCTCTAGCACAAAAATGTAGGAATGACTATGAGCCGAGCTCTAGCGAAATGTGGTGTGACTATGAGCCGAGCTCTAGCACAAATTAACATGACTATGAGCCGAGCTCTAGCATGAAAGAACATAAATAAATTTCAAATAGTAACATCCTAAGTTGAGGGTCTTGGAAATTGAAACTTTGATTATACTTAGTATAGTTGTCATTGTACTTGTCAAATGCTTCCAAGTACTGACCTCCCCTTCACGGGGGAGGCCACCTCACAGTTTCAGGTCGGGATTAAAGCTTGCCGCTACCGCCCGTTGTATCGGAGAATTCAAGAGAAGAAGACGTGGTTCGTGCTTCTTCTGTTTCTGTTTTGAAAACGATTTAAACCATGCTCATGGATATTATTTTTCTTTAATATGTATTTAGGGCTTGTATGCCCATGTTGCCAAAGTGTGGCGTGCACTTTGTATTGAATATTTCCGCTGCTTTAAATGATTATTTTACATTATGTTGTTTATGGATGTACTATGTGTGAATGGTATTCAAGACGCCTAGTATAGTATGGATGAGTTGGACTGCGGTTGACTATTCGTACTGTACGGCGGGTTGTTGACGTGTCCGGTAGGTCCGGGGCGTGACAATTTAATTGGTATCAGAGCCTTAGTCCGTAAACTTCATAATGAAGCTTCAAAATTCCTTTTGAAAAAAAAAAAAATTTGAAAACCATGAGCATAAAGTTTTGTACTTATAGAACTTTTGGTACTTGAGTTGCAAAGTCTCTAATTGTTAAGATGGTACCCTTAACAATTGGCATGGCGGTGATTTGAGCCAAAAGATGTCCCTAAGTACCTATCCGTCACTTGACATTTGATACGAGTCTAACGGCTCATTCTAAACTTCTTTCAGAAATGGAGCCAATTGGAAGGATCACTAGGAGGAACCCGACGGGCCGTGTACCGGGTGGGTCCGAACGCGGCAGCCGGGGGTCCGCTAGGGTGTCCAGGGGAAGGGGCCGTGGAGGCCAACAACAAACCGTGAGCGATGGCCACGTGGACACCGAGAGTGAGACTTATTGGTCCTATGAGGACTCAACCTATAGGCCGGAAACCGAGCCGGTGGAAACCCCATATGATGGGGAAGATGACGATGTGAGTGAAGAGAGTGAAGACGATGGCACTCTTGGGAGGATCGAGGCGCTGCTCCAACAATACCACCGGGAGCGCGAAGAGAGGAGACAACGTCGAAGGCGCCGAACGGGGCAACCTTCGGGCATGGCTTCGAGAGGAGGAAGCCAAGGTGCTTCTAGAGTCCATGTTGAACCACATGGAGGCCAAGATGTGGGAGGTCCAACCATAAGGATCTCCAAATTTATCAAAGAAGCACGAGATTTGGGATGTAAACCGTTTGATGGAACGGGAGACATCTCCGTTGCAGCCGAATGGATCAAAAGATTCAACGAGGCGGCCCTTGACATGCAGCTGCCACCCATCATGAAATTGAGGGTGGCAACAAGATTGCTCGAAGGCATGGCGTCCACGTGGTGGGACGGGGTCAAAGGAAAATACGGCGAAGCCGTCACATGGGAGAACTTTCGGCAGGAGTTCTTCAACCAATACTACTCCGACTTCGAGGTAAACATGAAGAGGAGGGAGTATACGAACTTGACACAGGGAGGCACATGTACGGTGAAGGAACTTGAGCACAAGTTCAGAAAGCTTGCCGAATTCATACCGGAGTACATATGTGATGAGAACCGGATGGTGAACCACTTCTGGGATGCCTTAGACCTTGACATACGCGAGAGGGCAACACAATTGCCTAATATGACGTTTAGTCAAGTGGTTGAACAGGGCCTGAAGGGAGAGAAGGAGTGGGAGGAAAGAAAGCGGAGGAACGCCGAGGAGGCGAAGAAGAGGAAGTGGGAAAGCCATGGCCCACAAGGTTCTAACAAAAAGGGGAACCACGGGGGAGGAGGATCGTTCAGGGCACCGGCGCCGCCATCCAAGGGAAACTCGGCTTTCGGCGGGCACAACTCGGGCTCACAAGCCTCGACAGCGCCCAGGTGCCGAAATTGCAATAGGAGCCACGCCGGTAAGTGTCGTGACCCTCCTCGGTGCTACCAATGTGGAGACACGGGGCATCTTAAGCCAAATTGCCCTCAACTTGGTGGAAACCGAGGGGCGGGATCAAGCGGCGCTACTACGGCAAGTAGGAGTCGGACCGGAGCACCCCATGCTAGTACGGGGCAGGGGGGAGCAAGCGCCAGCAACGCGCCGTCCGTGAATCAAGGAAGGACGCAAGCTAGAGTCTACGCAATGACCGAGGCCGATGCTCGGGCCAATCCCGACTCCGTTGCAGGTAATACACGTATTCCCATGTATTTCTAGGCTTGCATTGATCATATACGTCGTAGGGATTGAGTGCGGGCCACCCCGGGGTCAAAACCGGGCAAGTTAGGCCAAATCAGCTGGAAACAGCCACTGCCGGCCAGGCACGCTCGCAGGCACGCCGTGCCTGGCATCGTGCCTGGAGGGCAGTGGCAACCGGAAGATTTTTGGGCCAGGCACGGTCGCAGGCACGCCGTGCCTGGCACCGTGTCTGGAAGGCAGTGGCACCCGAAGAAAAGGAAAAAAAAAAAAAAAAAAAAAAAAAAAAAATTTGGGCCAGGCACGGCCGCAGGCACGCCGTGCCTGGCGTCGTGCCTGGAAGGCAGTAGCGTCCGAAGTATTTTTGGCCAGGCACGGCCGTAGGCACGCCGTGCCTGGCATCGTGCCTGGCCGGCAGTGGCACGCAGAGTTAGTTCGTTGCACGCACGGTCGTGCGTGCCACCCAGGCACGCCGTGCGTGGACCCCCAACCCCCGAAAATTGATTTTTTCACCCCGTTCTTCTACGTTTGGACCCCCGTTTGATTCCAAACCTTAGTATTGACTTAATAACCTCCTAAAGATGTGTAAAAACATTAGAAAATGTATCTTACATGGTGTATAAATGTAGGAACATTAAAGATCAATGGTAGGTGTGCGAGGATCCTCATCGATACCGGGGCACAACGCTCATTTGTGAGTGAGGCGTTCGCCGAGGGACTTGACGTGCCGTTGACACCTATGACGCAAACGTTGCTAGTCTCCACACCGTTAGGGGACGATGTGGAGAGAAATCATTACTATCCATCATGTGAGGTGGAAGTGACGGGTCAACCCTTGACTTGTGATTTCGTACCTCTAAGCATGTTGGAGTTCGATGCAATCCTAGGAATGGATTGGCTTGAGAAGCACCATGCTCGAGTAGATTGCTACACCAAGGTGTTGGAGCTCGAGGATGAGCAAGGAAACACGCTATGTTTCGAAGGAGATCGGGGGAAATCAAATGTTTGCATCATATCCGTGATGAGAGCGCGGAAGATGATGAGAAAAGGGTACCACGCATACCTTGCTTACGTGGTAGATGATACGAAGAAAGAAGTCGACATCAAGGATGTTCGAGTCGTGTGCAAGTACCCGGACGTCTTTCCCAAGGACCTACCGGGGCTTCCACCCGATAGAGAGATTGAATTTGTAATCGAAGTGGAGCCGGGAACCAAACCCATTTCGATTCCTCCTTATCGAATGGCACCGGCCGAACTTCAAGAGTTGAAGGTCCAACTACAAGAACTATTGGACAACGGGTTCATCAGACCCAGTCATTCACCGTGGGGAGCACCCGTACTATTCGTAAAGAAGAAAGATGGTACACTAAGAATGTGTATTGACTACCGACAGTTGAACAAGGTCACCATCAAGAACAGGTATCCCTTACCGAGGATTGATGACTTGTTCGACCAACTTCGAGGGGCAATAGTGTTCTCGAAGATTGACTTGAGGTCGGGGTATCATCAGTTGAAGATCAAGGAGAGTGACACACCTAAGAGTGCATTTCGCACTAGATATGGTCATTACGAATTCCTTGTGATGTCGTTTGGTTTAACCAACGCACCGGCGGCATTCATGGACTTGATGAACCGTGTGTTTAGTGAATACTTAGATCAATTCGTGATAGTATTCATTGACGACATCTTGATATACTCCAAGAGCGAGGAGGAGCACGAACACCATTTGAGGCTTGTACTTGATCGGTTAAGGGAAAAGCAACTCTTTGCCAAGTTCTCAAAATGCGAATTTTGGCTCAAAGAGATTGGTTTCCTCGGTCATGTCATATCCGGTTCGGGCGTTGCCGTGGACAACGCCAAGATTAAAGCTATTATGGATTGGGAGAGACCCAAGAATGTGAAAGAGATACGTAGTTTCCTTGGCTTAGCGGGATACTATCGTAAGTTTGTGGAAAAATTCTCCGTATTGGCGTCTCCATTAACGAAGCTCACAAAGAAAGGGGCCAAGTTCATATGGGACGACAAGTGTGAGAAAGGGTTCCTTGAACTGAAGAAACGACTTACCGAAGCACCAGTACTAGCCCTACCTATACAGGGGATAGGGTATGATATCTACAGTGATGCTAGCATCCAAGGGCTTGGATGTGTACTGATGCAAAACGGTCGGGTGATTGCCTATGCTTCTAGGCAATTGAAGAAACACGAGGCGAACTACCCTACCCACGATCTAGAGTTGGGGGCGGTAGTGTTTGCACTAAAGATTTGGAGGCATTACCTCTATGGGGAGACATGTCACATTTTTACCGATCATAAGAGCTTGAAGTACGTATTCACTCAGAAGGAGTTGAATATGAGACAAAGGAGATGGATGGAGTTGATCAAGGATTATGACTTGATCATCGACTATCATCCCGGAAAAGCAAATGTAGTGGCCGATGCACTGAGCAGGAAAAGTACGTCGGGGACATTACTCACATGTCTACGAACTTTGAGGGCACAAGTGGAGATGCCCACGAGTGGGGTCCTCATTGCTAGATTCGAGGTTAGGCCCACATTGCTGAGTGAGATCAGTAGATGTCAGGCCACTGATGAGGAATGCCAGAAGATCCGCGAGAGGATCCTTGAAGGGCCCGTGGAGAACTTTCGGGTACGTGATGACGGTCTTTTATTGTTTAAAGACCGTGTGTGCATACCAAAGAGTGAAGAGCTCCAAAAGTCTATCCTGGAGGAGGCTCACTCTTCGGCATATGCTATGCATCCAGGAGGTACTAAAATGTACCGAGATTTGAAGGAAAGTTACTGGTGGTCAGGTATAAAGAGGGATATCGCAGAGTACGTGAGTCGATGCCTTACTTGCCAACAAGTTAAGGCAGAGCATCAGCACCCGGCGGGGCTTTTGCAGCCACTAACCATTCCAGAATGGAAGTGGGAGCATGTGACCATGGACTTCGTGGTGGGGCTACCACGAACAGTGAACAACTATGATGCAGTATGGGTAGTGGTTGATAGGCTCACCAAAAGTGCACACTTTTTGCCTATCAACATTACTTATCCCCTTGAGAGATTGGCAAAGCTATACACGGAGGAGATTGTGAGACTACATGGAGTCCCGATATCCATAGTCTCGGATAGGGATCCACGATTCACATCTCGATTTTGGCCCAAGTTTCAAGCATCTTTGGGTACTAAACTGAAGTTTAGCACAGCTTTTCATCCACAGACGGATGGGCAATCCGAGAGGGTGATACAGGTTTTAGAAGATATGCTAAGGGCATGTGCTTTGGAGTTCCAGGGGAGTTGGGACAAACATTTGGCTCTAGTAGAGTTCGCCTATAACAATAGTTATCAGGCGAGTATTGGCATGCCTCCATATGAGGCATTGTATGGGAGGAAATGCAGGACACCGTTATGTTGGGACGAGGTTGGCAAGGCCAAGCTCGAGGGGATTGAACTTGTTGAAATCACCAAGGCTAAAGTGAAAGTCATTCAGGATAGACTCAAGGCTGCCCAAGATCGGCAGAAGAGCTATGCCGACAAACGACGAAGGCCATTGGAGTTTGAGGTCGGTGATAAGGTCTTCCTAAGGGTTTCTCCTTGGAAGGGTATCATCCGATTTATATCAAGGGGAAAGCTTAACCCCAGATACATTGGTCCATTTGAAATCCTTGAAAGGATAGGGGCTGTGGCATACCGTCTCAAGTTGACGCCGGAGCTTGAGAAGATACACGACGTGTTTCATGTATCGATGCTCAAGAAATACGTGAGAGATCCGTCTCATATTCTTGAAAAGCCACCGGTAGAGATACGCGAAGATCTACAATATGCGGTGGAACCGGTGAAAATTGTGGGACAACAAGTGAAGAAATTGAGGAACAAGGAGATTCCTATGGTGAAGGTCCTTTGGAGGAGTGATCGAGTCGAGGAAGAAACATGGGAGACCGAGGTCTCAATGAGGGAGCAATACCCTTTTCTCTTCGATTAGACACGTGGATTTCGGGGACGAAATCCCAAATAAGGGGGGGTGAACTTGTAGCACCGTCCCCAAATGTATTTACTTTTATGTGAATATTATATTTTAACCTTATGGAATGGTTAAAGAATTTATGATGTTACGAATTTTTATTAATTCTTTCGCACGAATAGTAAATTCGCACGTGGGGCCCGCACCGGGAGCGGGGGCCGCCCAATATTCCCGGGACCACATAAATTATCCATCTCGGTCTAGATAATATTTATATGGTGGAGAATAACTCATTTGAGCCATGGAAAGGTCCGGAGTTGACCGATTGGTCAAAAGAGGCCTAAATACCGGTATTGGCAATTGAACCGATAAAAGCCCGAAATTTAATTTCGGGGACTTATAAATTAAAGTTGGGGTATGAATATTCATCATAAGAGTCTCAATGATGGAGAGCACATAATATATTTTATTTGACCCGATAAAATAAAATATATTTTAAATGGTCCGAAAAATACAACTTTCGGGACAAAGTGTACACTTCGGGACAAAAGGGGCTGACCTCCCACTTGGGTGGGGGCCAACCCACGAATTTGGTCACCCAAATTCAAAGTTTGGCCGGCTGGAGTGAAGGGAGGGCATGTGAGTGGTGTGTGAAGTGAAAGGAAGAGCATCAAACAAAATAAGGTGGATCCCATCCACACTTATTTGCTTAATGAAACAAAAGGTTACCCTCACTCCTCCCTCCCCCCTTGTTTTCGGCCAAGTAATACCCAGGAAGAAGAAGAAAACCACCCTCCTTCATTCTCCATTGTTGAGGAGAGCTCAACAAGAAGGAATCCCAAGAAAAGGAGCTAAGGTGCTAAAAGTGTGAAAAGATTAAGGTAATGACCTTATTATAACTTCTTCTTTATTTTTCTTCTACCATATGAGATATACATCATGTGAAGAATCCTTAAGAGGATTCTACATGTTGTAAGTATGGATTAATGGGTTGGAGAGTGGTTCTAAGTCCAAGAACGGATTTAGAAGCCAAACCGGCAAGTTCACCAGAAAATAACCTTTTAGGGGTTGTTTGTATTGATTAAGGTTTTATGATGTTGAAACCTTGTTAGGAACTTGATATAGAGTATTTTGAGCCTCACCGGAGTTTCGCCGGAGTTTCGCCGGAGTTGGTCAAAGTTGGCCGGAGTTGGTCAAAGTCCGCCAAAGTTCAACCGGGAAGCGTAGAACGCGCTTAAGCTCACTTAAGGTGAGGATGACCGACTATATTGTTTATAATTATTGGGTTAATTTCATAAGATTGCCTAAATGAATTATATGTGTTTGGCATGAGTTATTTATGATTAAGAATGCCTAAAATGGAATATAGTATTGTTCATAAAGAAAATGCATAATATACGAATTTA